TCCATGAGCCTAGGCACCAAGAGATGGAAGCAGGAGTGGCCCCATTTTTATTCACTCTAAGTGAACTTTTGGGGAAAATGGGCTTCTAATCCCTGAACTCTGTGACCTGCAGATAGAAAAGCGCTGGTAGGCAAAGTGGAAACACTTCAACTAAGGGAGATAAGATTCCCATTGACTTCTCCACTGTGACTGATACCTGGTCATGTGGAAGCTTCTTTGGGCTCCTTATTTCAGAAGGAAAGGCAAAGAATCACTGTTCAGGTAACCGTGGTTATTCCTGGTCATCAACAGATAGGGTTATGGGAACACAGCGGGAGACAAAAGGATTGTGTTTAGTACTTAAATGCTCTTGGTGAGGGAGAGGTAGGCATCTCACACTGAGAGACAGGCTGAAGAAAGGCTTAGAGGCAGCAGAAGAAAGGAAGCAAGTTCAGATAGATTTGGAGTCTTGTTCTGCAGGTTAAGGAATATGGACCAGAAACACTGAAAGAGAAGAGAATAAATACCAAGAAGCCGAACACAATAGTTCAGAAGTCTAGCTGATCTATTAGATGGGGCCTAATTTCACTGATTCAGGAAAGGAAACCAGGAAGGTCAAGAAATTGGGAGCAACCATTGGGGAGAAAAGAGAAATTTGGAATGCAGACAGTGCTATTAAACAAATGTATCCATTCTAAGAATCATGCAGAGCACAGAAATTCTTTTTACCTAATTTAAACCCTTCCTTTAATAATATCCCATACTTTGATATGAAGAAACTTCTAAAATAATATAATTCCATAAACTCTTACTCTCTCCACATATTGGTGTGTCAGGACTCCAGGTGCCATCTTCTTGGCATGAAGCTTCAGCGTTACGTCTCCCATCACATGAATATAAAATCAAGTCTCCATGGAAATATTCACACTTATTGGCCAAATCTTTTCTCTGCTGTCTTTGCAGAATAATTTTGCCATGCTTCAGCTCTGGTACTGGACAGCAAATCTCTAAAAAATAAAAAGTGAGGCTGATAAAAAGTGAGGTTAGTAAAATCACCATGAGGAGGCTCCTATGGCTAATAACCTCACTTCCACCTTTAGAAGAGTTCGCCTCAGAAGAGAGGTTGGGGAAACAGACAAGGGTCCCCGAGACACCTTGAGTCCTCACTCCCTGACCCTGATTTGCTAAAGTAGTTCAATCCAGTCACTTCCCTCCAATTAAATAATTGCATGAGGGGCCTCCAAAATGAGAAGTTGGATGAAACCTGGATGAAAATGTAAATTTTCAAAATTATTCAAGAGCAATGACAAGTAACACTTATCTCCTTATGGCTTCACTAGGGTCACATTATTATTAAGCTTTCTAATAACTTTTACTTCTCAAAATGCAGAAGTAAGAATGTTCTCAAAAGTTTATATTGGCTTCCAGTGGAGATGGTGGCATAAGTAAAAGTAGTTCTTGCCTCTCCCCTCACAACCGCATCAAAATTGCAACTAAACAGAACAACCATCATTCAAAACAACCAAATCTGGCTGAATTGAAGTTCTACAACTAGGAAATTAAAGAGGAAGCCACATCGATACTGGTAGGAAGGGCAGAGATGTGAAAGGGGCTGGTCCCACACCCACATGTGGCAAATCAAAATCGGGAGAGCTCTTCAAACTCCAAGCCCTTGATGGTCTCTTCTGGCAATAGCAGTCATCCTGTTGAATTAATATAATCATAAATTTAACTTGAGGAACACAAGTATACTTGAGCAACAAGATGCTAACATAATGTGAGATAACAGAAAAATATATACACTGAGTGGCCAGATTATTATGACCACCTGACATTTGTAGGCAAATTAGCTATAATTTCATGCTGAAGTTGCTAAAGGGCCAGACCATTATAAATAGGGAAGCAGGTTGTTTACCACAATAGTAGAAGTGATTTTTTTTGAAGATATGTGTAAACAATGCAATTTAACAGCCTTTGAATGTGGGATATATTTGAATGTCAGTGGCCAGATTATTATGACCACCTGATGTTTGTAGGCAAATTAGCCGTACACTGCATCATATGGGATATGGAACCCGAAGACCTTTTTGAACACCTTTGCTGTCTGCAGTTACCAAGATAAAATGTCTCCAATTCACACAGGAACACAAGGTTTGGACAATCGAGCATTGGAAAAAATCATGTGGGCCGATAAATCACGTTTCAGTTACATCATGCAGAGGGCAGAGTGAGACTTTGGTGGAAACAGCATGAAAGCATGTACACGCATGAGTACAACCTTTGAAGCTGGTGGGGACAGTGTTATGGTTTGGGGCATGTTTTGATGGCATGATTTGGGCCCTTTAGTTCGTGTGGAACAATGTCTGAATAGCACAACATACCTAAGTATCCTTGCTGATCAAATTCATCCTATCATGTTGATGGCGTATCCCAATGGAGATGGCTTCTTCCAACAAGGCAATGCACCATGCCACGGTGCTCATATTGTGCAGGAGTGGTTTCAAGAACATGAGGGAGACGTTACCTTGCTTAGGTGGCCCCCACAATCACCAGATCTCAATCCAATTGAGCACTTATGGGACGAAGTTAAAAGAGCCATCAGGCAGCTGGTTCCACAACCATCAAATCTCACAGAACTGGACAGTGCTATTCATCAGGCATGGTGTCAGATTCCTCGCATCACCTTTCAACATCTCGTGGAGTTGTTGCCAAGTCAATGCCAAGAAGAATCGCCACAGTATTGAAGGCAAAAGGTGGCCCAATGAAGTACTGATGGGGTGGTCATAATAATCTGGCCACTCATCATAATATATATCCTATGTTCAAAGGCTGATAAATCACATTGTTTACCCATATCTTCAGAAAAAAATCACTTCTACTGTCATGGTAAACAACCTGCTTCCCTATTTATAATGGTCTGGCCCTTTAGCAACTTCAGCACGAAATTATAGCTAATTTGCCTACAAATGTCAGGTGGTCATAATAATCTGGACACTCAGTGTATATATAACTTTAAAAATATATAACTTTAACAGATTAATCAAACCCTAGGAGGAGGTCCAAAGAACCTCTGATTTGTAGCCTAGTTGGACAGAAGTTGGGGGTACTCTGGGGACCTACTCCTTATGACTGGCATTCGAATTGGGGTGGGACCAGTCTTGTGGGAGTGAGCCCTTAACCTGTGGGATCTGACACTCCTCCAGGGAGACAGTGTTATGAATGGATTAAAATTTAGGACACCCAGTTGGTGTCATGAGAATTGTGTGATAACATTCTGTTTAATTCACCTGTGTACAAATCAACAGCTTCCATACAACCTCAGATTAAGTACCTTCTGAGAAATATACAAAATAGCTCTTGCCCTGGCTGGTGTGGTTCAGTGGGTTGGAGCATCATCCCAGACACCAAAATGTCACAGGTTTGATTCCTGATCAGGGTACACACCCAAATTGTGAATTTGATCCCTAGTTGGGGCGCATGCAGAAAGCAACAGGTCAAGGTTTCCCTCTTCCTCTTCCTTCCTCTCTCTCTCAAATCAATAAAGTCTTATCCTTAGGTGAGGTGTAAAAAAAAAACAGCTCTTAATTTTTATGAATAACATATGTATGGAGTTCTGTACTAGGCTCTTCAGGTAATATTAAGAGCCATACTTGCAATATACTTAGATGCGATATAGCCATTTAAATAGTTACACTAAAACACCAGTCACACAAATGCTAGGAGAGTAGGACAACAAATGAGTTCTACCGGAAAAGGTTGACAGAACTGAGGCCTGGAGTATCGGGGGAAGATGTCCAGGAATGACTTGGAGATACATGAAGGATGGGTAGAAACCAGTAGCTGATAAGATAGTAGAGGCAGATTAATACGGAGGCAATGAGCAAAGTCTCTGGCCTCAGAAGGTTGTTACTATAAAGAAAAGGGCAGGCAGAGTCAGAAAGGGAGATTTCAGGTCAAAGTTGACAGAAATTAAATGGATTTCAAAGGGTTGAGGCCATGGATAATGGAAGATTTCATGAAATAGGAGGAAAAGAGACAGGGAAACAGACACATGAAGAAATAATCGAAAGATGTTGACCAACTTAATAAGGTTTTTTTCTGTTACCTCAGACTCTAAGAGAGGAGAACTTAGAGACAACTTGGAGGCCTGAACATCCCCTGGGCAGAATGTTCTTCATGCTGCACTGATTCTCCAACCTAAAGCTAGTGCTCAGTAATGTCCAGGTGTTTGAGGGAAAAATCACCTTCCAGTTAGAAATTCTTCCTTAATAAACCCATGCTTTCCCCCACCTCTCTCAGTGATGGAGAAGGCATGGCTTCCACACTGTCAAATCAAGCTGCTAGCTCATAAGAGCACTCAACTATTATTTTAGATTCAGGATTTTGCCTCGAAGCTATCCCAAGTCCTACATTTTTTATGCCATCATAGTCATTTTCAGGGAATATGCATAGAGATATCCTTATTATGAAAAGGAATTCTCTTAGGTTAAAAATAATCTAGCACAAGAGAAAAATATTTTGCTTAAAGGACATTTCCATTTAGATAATATAACAACAGATCTTCCAAAGTTCTAGTAAGTTCTCTCAAACTCTTTTACTTCTTCATTTGTAAAAACTTTTCTACATTTCAATAACAATGTCTTAAATTTATGTAATGGTTTATAATTCTCTAAGTGTCCTATATTTTACTCTAGAAAAGTTACTATTAGTGATAATGGACAATATTTTTGCTTTACTGATAGAATTCCCCCAACCCCCACTCCAATGAATCACTAACTAAGATTGTAGATGGCATAATTAACTTAGTTAGAAGGTATTTTAAACATTTTAGAGCATTGAAATATAAGAAATTTATTTGAAAATTAAAGATTATTCCTTGCTAAAGCAGCCTCACAAGAATCTTTACATATCAACACAATAATTTTAGCCACCAATTGACTATATTTGATGAATTGTTGTTTGGTATTTTTCTTTATATCTTAGAGAAACTACTTTCTTTCCCCAATAACCACTGTACTCACCACACAGGCCTGAAGGGCACAGCAGTAGGGTCAAGACCCCCAGGAGGTACAGGGCTGGGAGAATGCTCTGCAACTTGGGGGGCATGGTGCAGAGTCTCAGAGGTGCCACACTGGGCTCAGCACTCTTAGACACCTCGAATCAAAATGAAGAAATGTTCTGTAAGTAAACGTGAAAATGGTGCCTAAGCCAAGGAACTTGGCCTTGGCAAAGTCCCAGCACTGTGTCACCAAAAAGGGAGGGGCAGTGGGAGTGACTAGGAGACCAGGTGCTGAGCTCAGATCTGTCAGGGTGAGCTGATAAGGTTTGGGAAGAAGAGCCTGGAGCTTGATGCAAGAGCCCTGTGGGGTTCTGTACATATTTACTATTGTAACCCCAAGACTTCATTGCTGTTGGGATGGTAACGGTAATGAGTTTCTTTCTGGACATATGATTCCTCTCTGAGTAAATGAAGGCAAAAGGTACCAGGATTGCAGATTCTGATGCACAGAGTATGTGGTGGGCTCTCCAGGAATTACAAGGCAGAGTATGAAAGAAAGGAGACTATCTGAGAAACAGTCCTTGTCCAGGAAAGTGGTTTCTTCAATTTGGAGTATGAATTGCTCATAGAATAAATTTTTTTAATGTAGAAATTTAAATTTCTTTCTAGGTAGCCTATGGTCTACCAAGACCACACTAATATGAGTCTGTGAGAAAATACTCAAGAATCTAGTCCAGCCGTGGGCAAACTACGGCCTGCGGGCCGGATCCGGCCCGTTTGAAATGAATAAAACTAAAAAAAAAAAAAAAAAGACCATACCCTTTTATGTAACGATGTTTACTTTGAATTTATATTAGTTCACACAAACACTCCATCCATGCTTTTGTTCCGGCCCTCCGGTCCAGTTTAAGAACCCATTGTGGCCCTCGAGTCAAAAAGTTTGCCCACCCCTGATCTAGTCCAAACAATAATTATTCTTTAATACTTCAATGGGAGCCTCTTTACTTCCTGGGTTTGCTGATATACATGAAACACCAATGACTCACTCTATGAAACCGTTCTGGTGTGGGAACTATGCTAGTCTGTGTCTGCGCCTGAGAAGCATGCACTGAAAGGTAAATGGCTGGAGATGATCAATTAAGGAGAAAGGAAGGTTCAGTGTGACATTTCAAATATCTGGATGATGCTGGATGCGGAGAAAGCCCAGCGCTTTGGCTCTGAGCAGTAAGAGACAAGTGAATGGAAGACGCATTTGTTCTGCTTCGTGAATTGGTAACCCCAAGACTAAGTGTCTCTTAACCATCGAAGACTGCCTGACTGTTCATCCAGATTATTGCCTAAATTGTCTCCTTGAGTGGGACAGATGAGACTACCAACCTGGAGTCCATATCTTGCCCACCAGCTGTGGATATCTGTGCTTAGATTGTTGCCTCAAACAAAAGAGTAAGCTCCGGAAATTGTCCTAAAGGGACCTTCACTACTCAGCTGAACTGGAATGACTACCATTTGCTTATCTCTCCAAAATGCTTCTCTCTCAAAAATAAATGAGAAGAATTACCAAATATAACTGAGGGAAACTCATTGGAATGCTGAGGAAAGCACAAATAAATGTCAACTTCCTAGAGACCAAGGAAAACAAAGCCACCAACTGGCTACTTCCTTTAGAAAGAGGAGTCACAATAAAGAGAAGTGATTTAAAGGATTAACCAGAAGCCTGCTTTTAATCTTTCAGCAGGTAGGGTACCAGAACTTTATATAAATTAGCATAATTAATCTTCAAAAAACCCTAGGACATAGTTTTTACCTTCCTCATTGCATAAATGAGGAAACCAGTTTAGATAGAAAAAGTAACCTGCCCTCAAACCGCTTAGATAGTTAGTAGCTACCAGGCAGGTCAAATTCTGAGCCCTAGACTGACTTGATAATACAGGCTTTTTCTTTATACCAAAATAATTTCCACTTTTTGGGCAATTTTGGCTTCCTGTAAAGACAATGAATCAGCCATTTGGGAGTAAATCAACACTGTTGGGCCTTCCCCGATGGAATGTCCACCACCAGAAGCTATTGGTGGTGTAGTTAATGGCATAGATTTGTGACCTTCTCCAGAGAATGTGCTGAAATGGCAGGAGCCTCCTCATCCTAATACTTTGGAAGTTATACCCCAGCCCACAGGAGCAACCAACGCCCAACTAATATTGGGACACAAAAAGCCCTGATTCCTTGCCTCAAGTCTGGACAATTCTGTGTGCTGAGCTGGCACGGCCTTGGGTGACCCTGAGAGGGGGCGGTGAAGGATAAAGAAAAGACAGACAAGAGAAGAAAGCTGGGTCTGGGTGGGACGCTGCCCTCTCTGATGGAGAGACAGTGCCACAGGCTGCAAGCCGAGTCTGTATTTTGTAGCCAAATTCCACGAGGCAAGTAAGGGCGGGGTTACAACATTCTCATGGATTTCGAATCTACTCAATTACATGCACCTGATCAAGCTTTGTTTACTTGCTGCACCTCCCGCAGCCTATACACTTAGCCACGGGGGACCACAGGTTTGGACCACAAGGTCAAGCTTACAACTACAGCCTTTGCCTATAATTGTGCTGGGACTTGCACATGGCTTTGCCATGAGAGGATCCTGCCCTCTCAGTCCCAGGCTTGAACCTGTCCAAATGCTGTAGCTGCTCTCCACTTTCTGTGAGGGAATGTATACTCTAGAGCTCTCCATGGATCAAGTGAAGAACCCATCCTTGAGAACCCATCCTTGCTCTGTTCCTTTGCTCCCCTACCGTGCTACTTCATTGCCTTACAGTTTTGGGGTGTGTGTGTGTGTGTGTGTGTGTGTGTGTGTGTGTGTTTGTGTTTCCTGATGAGCACACTATCAAAAAATTAGGTACATTTAAATCCATTCTGGAGAAACTGACTGAAGACAGTTTGTACCACAAGTGGGGACCTCAAAGGCAAACTCTAAGAATTGGATTCTAGAGTTGGATCACCCACCAGCCAACTGGCAATCACTGGTCATGGGTGAATATTGATAGTGCTGCTTGCTGTAGCATTGCAGCTATGAACATGTTCACCTGGTAAGTGCCAGGGGATGTAGATGGAAGGAGGTGCATTGGCTTGTGCAATACCTCGGGCACTTGAGAGGGGCAGTGGGAATGGCCATAATGGTTGTGAAACTGGGTGACTGAGTGCCATTAATACAGACTCAGTGCCCCTTAAATGAAAAAATGAAAGATCAAGGCAACCAATCACAATTCAAATCAAAGTGTGAAAGCCAGAAGGCCTCTTTGTCAATATTTAAAGGAAGCTTGTCTCAGGTAGCTGGGAGGCTAAACTAAAGGCCATACTCAGGATATAATCTTAAAAGGCCAACTAATTATCCATCAAGTATTTGGATAAAGACACTTTCAAATATGCAGGAACTCAAAGTTTTACTTTCTATGAGGAAAGACATCAAGAAAGAGGAGAACATGAATTCAAAAACCAAAGGCAGACAGAACAGGAAAGCAAGTACACACACAGGAAAACTTCCACTGCATGTCAAAGTGTGTGGCAGACACTGTCAAATCCCTCTCAAGATCACTAGGGCCCTCTGACTTTGGCACACTCTGGACCACTTCCAACCCCAGGGTCTGCTTTGTCTGTTCATATCTCTACCCTGGAGGTTACTTCACACAGTCCCATAGGTGCCATTGGGAACCAGTGTCAGCGTGGTCAGGAGCATGCCTAGCTGGTCTGCAGTGTGGGTCCGATGTCCTGAGAGCAAGAACTATTGGCTAATTACCCAAGGTCTTCATTCTCCAGAGGATAAATCATAGTTGGGTTCCACAAACATTCAGAGGGCAGTCAGCATAACTGAGCTCCTGTCAGCAACAGCAATAATAATCCCTTCAGTAATGATCCCTCTTTAGACTGCCCTCACTTCTTCATCTTACTCCCCACCCACTCGCCGATTTTTCTGGGGCCACCTCTCAGGGAAAATAGGTACCCACAAATCCTTGCCTCAAGGGAAACTCAAAAGAAACATGAAGCAAAAGGAATTCCTCATAGCAGGAGCAGGTAATGGCATTCAACACCATGATAGATACCTCCCAGTAAGGGGGTTTCCCTAACAGTCCAAGCCCCTCTGTGAGATCTGTAATTTACTGAAAGCCTGCTCTACGCCATTGCCTCTTCAGAGTATGTTTGGGAAAATTAAACAAAAGAAGCCAATGTTAACCATTAGGTACTGTGTACTAGGGAAAGACAAGAGAGCCAGTGGAGCTGAGATATGAGTGAGAACCCAAGTCCACATGCAAGACCCATACAAAACAAGGAATGTAGTAACTTTATGTAAAAACATTGTTGGGTTTGTATATGGACCTCATTGCAGAGGATGCAAAGTTGGAGGAAGTGGTGAGTGGAAGTGAATAGAGCCTCCGAAATACCTCGAGATATAAAAGCGATTCGAATGGGGTGTCTCCTTGTGTGTGGGATAGTTGCTCAAGGCTTTTTATTTGTCTATTAAAGAAAATAAGAACTAGATCAGATGGAGGACTTGCGAATGCACAGGGGGCTGCCACGTGGGCTTCACATTCATCGAGCTTTCAGAGTTTGATCTCTGAGGATGAAATAAGTGGTTCAGACACATACAAATGCCCTTCATATAAGATGAAGTCAAGAGGCAGCCTTAGCAAGTCAGAGAGCAAGCACTTGGGGGTTTAGAAAGGGTGCAACTCTCTGCCAATAGGAGACAATGGACAAGACTTTTGGGGCATGTTGACTAATGTAAATACTGAGGACCTGGTGATTTGCACATGGGGAACATGCAGTAAGGTAATCCAGGGAAATATAACTGACGTGAACCCAAGTCCACAAGCAAGACCCATACAATACAATTAATGTAGTAACTTTATGAAAATACATTTTGGGGTCTGCATATGCACAGACCCCAAAGCTACAAAGACCACAAAGATAAAATTGTACTCTATAAGTAAATTTTTAATGGAAAAATGTGCAATTGGTGTCCAAAAAAAGCAAAAATGTGAGCCACAAGATTATCAACAATTCTATAATCTCAGATCACTGGCAAAATAAAAAAATTACCATTTTTAGGTATTCATTACAATGCAAAAGAATGGCAGAGTTGCTAAACTAAAGTGACCCATATTGAA